TTTCATAACCTTGAGGGTTTCACTAGATTTTTTGAGGGTCTCACTACATTTATCAGGGGTCTCACCAGACTTTTTGAGGGTCTTACTAAATTTATCAGCAGTTACTAGAAAGTTCTTGAAAAACCTTATAACCGTTGTTTTGAACTCTATATTCAGTCATTTGCTTTCCTCCATTTCTGTCATTTGTGACCTGTTTCTTTGTCTCCGCATTTTTTATGCTTCCCTGTGTTGGTAGAGTGGCTTTGTGTGCTAGGTGTCCTATAGGGCCCAGTGGCTCAGCCTCCCCAATTACCTGAGCTGGACACTCTTGGTGAACCCCTTTGTGGGCTTTGTGCACAGTCTTGTTGTAGTTAAGCCTTGATTGTTGTAGGTATCAATGGGAGGAATTGACCTCCAGGCCAATTGGCTGTGAGAGTCAGCTGTGTCTACGGTGGGAGAACTTCTGTGCTGAAGACACCCTTATGAGGCAAGACTTGCTTCAGTGGGGCTTTGGTGCTCACTGAGTCTTCCCCCTGAGTGTGTCCCTTATGGATCTGAGGAGTTGTAGTTGGATGGTCCCACTCTGACCACTGGGTACACTGGCTCTTGGATCTAAGGAGGTGCTAATTTAGCCTCTGCCTGTGGCTACCCAGCAGGAGCTATGAAGAGATATGCAGATTCCCCTTCCTTGTTTGGGTTTGGAGGTGCCCAAATGAGGTCCAGCTGTGAAGCAATGCAAGCTTCTGTGGGGCCTTGGGCCTTCTCTTGGAATTTCTGGGTCTGTCTGGCCCAGCTGCATTTTGTTAGGTAATTTTCAGATTGCAAAGCCCTGAGCATTCATATGCAAAAGCCTCTGCCGAGCTTGGGTGGGGCAGGGTTTCAGGGAACAAACAGGATGGAGCAAGCAGCTATGGCTGATCCTCAGCCCTGCCCTAAGGGGCCCTGCATCTCAGTGTCCTGGTAATCGCTGCAAGCACCTTTGAGAGAAAGCTGCCCTCGAGTTCCGAGTTCTGCCCGCTGCCAGACAGTCCAGTTTCTCCCTGTATGAATCTGGGTCCCCAGAGACTCACCCGGAACTGGAGTTCAGAGCAGTCGGGGGCTTGTGACTCCCTCCCTATTCAAAAAGACAGCCACGTCCTCAGTTGCCAGCCCTTGCCACATGCGCCTCCGTACCTCTGCACTTCCGCACCTCCTCTGAGTCTCAGTGTGCTTTTCTCTTTCCTTCTAGTTGTAGAATTTCCACTCAGACAGCCTTCCTGTGGTTCTGGATGATGTCCATTTTGTCTTTTATTTGTATTTTTGAATTTGTTGTTGGAGGCAACAATTTCCGGGGTTTACCTATGCCACCATCTTGGTTTTTCTCCATTTTTATTCTTTACCCCTTTGTTCCTTCTTCGTTTCCTATTTTTTCTTTTTACAGCAGACCCTTTAGCATTTCTTGCATTGCTGGTTTGGTGGTAATAAACTCCCGTAGTCCTTTTTGTCTGTGAAGCTCCTGATTTCACCCTCAATTTTGATTGATAGCCTTGCTGGGTATAGTATTCTTGGATGCAGACCCTTCCATTGCATGACTTTGTATATTTCATTCCATTCCCTTCTGGCCTGATGTGTTTCTGTTGAGAAATCATTCGCTAGTCTGATGGGGGATCCTTTGTAGGTAACTTTCTGTCTCTCTCTGGCTGCTTTTAAGATTCTTGCTTTGTGGTTGGTGTTTGTCAATTTAATTATAATGTGTCTTGGCATCGGTCTTTTGGGGTTCATTTTGTTTGGGACTCTGTGAGCTTCTTGGATTTGTGAGTTTTTTCTTCCCTATATCTGGGAAGTTTTCTGTCATTATTTTTTCAAACAGGTTTTCTATTCCTTGCTCAGTTTTCTCTCCCTCTGGCACCCCTATTATTCGGATGTTGTTTCATTTCGTGTTGTCCCAGAGTTCTCCTTGGCTCTCCTCCTGCTTTTTAATTTTTTTTCCTAGAACTGCTCTGCTTGGGTATTTTTTTCTACCTTGTCTTCTAGCTCACTGATGTGGTCCTCTGCTTCTTCAAGTCTACTGTTGATGCTTTCTATTGAGTTCTTTCTAGCAATGATGTCATTTTTCATTTCTTCTTGGTTTTTCTTCATTTCCTCTTGGTTCTTACACATATTGTTGAATTTGTCTTCCATTCTTTTCATCCACCTTATAGCCATTTCTCTGAATTCTTTCTCTGACAGGTTGCTTGCCTCCATTGCCTCCATTTTGTTTACTTCTTTTTCTGGTGATGCCTGTTTTTCTTTCATATGCGGGCTGGTTCTTTGTTTCACCATGATCTCTCTTCTCCAGGTGTTTGGTTATGTAGTTCTCTCTCTTTGCTGCGTTGATTTAGAGGCACAAAATACAACACAACAAGGCACAACGTACAAGGCACTGAACACAAATGTATTCACGATATTAATAACCCCAAATAAAGGTGACCACCCAAGCAAAGAGAATTAGGGGATTAGAAAGAAAGAAGAGAAAAAGAGAAAAGAGAAAAAGAAAAAAAAGGATTGCAAAAATGAAATTGGGAAAAGGGAGAAAAAAATAAGTGAGAAAAGAGAGAGAATGAAATAGAAGAGGGGAAGAGACTATTTATATGGGGAGAAAACTCCTGTAGAACCACCACTAATCCCAACCAATTCCAGCAACAGATCCCTGGAGATGAATGCAAACTACAAACAACCACTAATATCAAGTGAGGCGAGGGAAAACAGAAGCACAAAAATAACCGGAGGGAAAAAAAACCAACAGAAAAATAAAAAGAAAAAGCAAAACAATCTCACAAACAAGCATAAAAAAACCAATATACTCAACAATCAAGCAAACAATAACAAAACGACAGAGAGAAAAAAAATTTGGACAGTGAAGAAAGATAAGAGAGAGGTGTATGTGGATTTAGAGCAAGGCATTGGAAATTAGATATATAAGTAGGGTAAAATTTAGACAGGGGGTAAAAAGAAGGAATAGGGAAAACCAAAACAGGAATAGGGTAAGAGAAACAGGACAACAAAAGGGGAAAATTGAGGAAGAGAGTTTTGGCATAAAGGTAAAGTTGAGGTAGAGAAAAATGATGATAAGGAATGATGAAAATAGAATGTAGAACACTAATCCCAAAATAAAATAAAGAGAAAATAAAATGACACTTTAAAAAATGGTAAAATGGTAGTAGTAATAATACCGGTTAAAAATAAAAATGTAGTAATTAAAAAGGTAAAATCAGGTGATGAAAAAAGAAAAAAAATAGTTTCTTAATTAAAAGGTGAAAAAAGAATTAAAAATAAAAATAAAAATGTGCAGCCCTAACCTGTTTGGCTCAGTGGATAGAGCGTCAGCCTGTGGACTCAAGGGTCCCAGGTTCGATTTCGTTCAAGGGCATGTACCTTGGTTGCGGGCATATCCCCAGTGGGGAGTGTGCAGGAGGCAGCTGATTGATGTTTCTCTCTCATCAATGTTTCTAACTCTCTATCCCTCTCCCTTCCTCCCTGTAAAAAATCAATAAAAAATATATAAAAAAATAAAAATAAATAAAAATGTGCAGTAGTGAAGGTGCTTCAGGTCCTCTACTCTTCTTTCTGGAATGCCTTAGTCCTGCCAGGTATTCAGGAGAGTGTTGAATTTCCCTGCGACACACTGTTCCTCCGTGTTGTAAACCACAGTCCTGATTTTAAGGCAGGCCGTATTTGTTTCCCAGACTGCCTTTATTTGTGTTTACAGAAGAGTCAGTTCATGGATCACCCCCTGGGTGGCAGTGTTTCTGGATTGACCTCCGAGGCTATTGACCCCCTCTCTATCCAGCAGTTAGGGTTTATTTTCCCTATCGCACTTACAACTGGTTTGGGAGAGTCGACTGCCCTAGAGCATGTTCTTTAATCATTACTCCCGCTTTCCCAGGTTCCACAAAAACAACTTTCCCCTGCAGTCTCTGCGAGTGACCCCAACTGGGCAATCCCATGCACTGGGTTTAACAATCAAATGCAAAGATTTAAGGGGAAGAGAAAAAACAAGAGCCTGAGAAGTTGCACGAATTCGCAACCCTCCACCTTCTAGCTCTGTGCACAATCTCTTCCACACATCCTCTCTACCCTGGCACTAAGCAGCCGGCACACTGGCAAAATCCGAGGCTGCTTTTTTGCATCCAGTCCAGCTATGGGCTTATTTTTAACATTCCCCTCTGCCAGCAGCCCTGCAGGAGCCCTTCCACACTCTCAGATCACGCTGGCCCCAACGGCTGCGGAATTGTGGGGCACAGATTTCCCCCGCGCTTGTTTCTCTCTCCAACCTGAATTGCAAACTGCACTGTTAGGCGAAATCTGACCTTTCCGTGAGGAGAAGCAGGGCTCGTCTGAGTTCACGTAGTCGTACTGCTTGAGATCCGTTGTTTCTGGGTTAGTTGCCGATCTCTGGATGCTGGGTCTTTGGATGTATACGCTTCCAATAACAGCCACTCAAGATGGTGCATTCTCCGCAGCTGAGCCAGCACTCCGGGAGAGATTTCAGCCTCGGTCTCTAACCGCCCCCTTTCTCCGGGAGTCCTCTGTCTTTCCCTGCTACAAACTGTCTCCCAGCTGAATATCTTCTGCTTATTCGGGCTGTATGTTATCCGTTTCAGCTGCTCACCCTTATCTGCTCCGGGACAAGTTACTGGACACGTCCGTCTATACCTCCGCCATTTTCTTCTTCGCTATTCATCATTTTAAATATTTCTTGCTATTCCCTTCTGGCCTGCATAGTTTCTGTTGGGAAATCAGCTGACAGTTGTATGGATACTCCCTTGTAGGTAACTAACTGTTTTTCTCTTGCTGCTTTTAAGATTCTCTCTTTGTCTTTTGCCCTTCGCATTTTTTTTTACACTTTAATAAAAGCACTGTAATTTCTATTATATTAGGTAATACATGAAAGAACAATTTAAAAAATGGATTCAAACTACTGGTTCTTACACCCACAAACATACATCAGAATCACTGGTGAGGTTTTAAGTCCAGGTCTCACTCTTGGAGAAGGTTGTGGCAGGGGTCAGGCCCCAGGTATTTTTCAAAAGCTTTCCAGGAAGCTCTGATGTTTCCTCCTGGCCAAGTCACTGACTTTAGGTCGGCTGGGGCACTTTGGGTTTTTGGGGCCACTGTTTGGGGGTGTGGGAAGCTTTTCTTGCAGATTTATTAGCTGTAGTGAAGAACTTGGCCTCTGGCTTTTTGGGCATCTGTCTTGGGTCTTTTTTCCCCAAAGGAGAGTTTCTTTGCTTCTCCACTTCTTCTTTGACTCTTGGCTTCTTCACTGGGCCTTTACCTGGGGTCTTGGGCTCTGGTGCTTTCGGCATCTCCAAAGCTGGAAAGGCCTTTCTCTTCTTCCCACGAGGTGGGTTGGAACCAGGACTCTTTACTGGAGAGTTCTCCCCTGTGGCATGTTTTTGCATCTCTACATTTTCTTTGGCAGGAGTTTCTCCTATTGGGACCAGCAATGGGATTTCTTCTTTAGATTCAACTTGCACTTTACTTTCAGTTTTTATTCTGCAGGTCTCTTTCTTCTCAGGCTTATGGGTCTCTTTCTTCTGGGGTCCAGGGCCCTTCACTGGAGAACCACAAGTTTTAGAGGCCGTCTCCTCTGTAGGTAGGGCTGATGTAGACTTTCTACCCTGTTTCATAGGCTTTCTGTTTCTTTTCTTCTCCTTTCATCTCTTTTTATGTTCTTTTAGTTTTAATATTTTCTTTGCTTCTTGTTTCTTCAGACTAGAAATGTTCACTCCTTTAGCTTCATCCCAACTGCTGACAAATGAAGAAAAGATAGGAAGGGCAACTGATCTCTCAGTTTTCACGTACAAGAGTTTCACACTCTCCCACTTCTCTGGCAATTTCTGTGAAAGCTTTTTTGTAGCAGCAAGAATGTTTTCAGTGATGTTCTGAACCTGCATTCCAGTGTGACCGATGCGGATAGTGCTGTAAGAACCACTTTTAGAGATGTTTAAGACAGTTCCACCTATTGATGAGTTGATTTCTTGGGAAAGATTCTTGGCTTTCAGATTGACAGGTATTGGAACTTTCTTTCTCTTATAGAAATGTCTCCCGAGGTGTGAGGGTAAAAGCCGCTGGATTCTTGCATCAGAAAGGAACAAGTTGAAACTACCCAGGAGGTGGAGCTTGGCCTCATAGGCTTTATACTCCTTTTTTAAAGTTCGGAGGGGGATAATCTGAGAAATGGTTTTTATTCCATGCTTGTTTAGAAGCTTCTTATAAAAATGTTCCATCTTTTCAGGAGTTACATTGGGTTCGTCCTTAGTAAATAAACAGACAACTGCTAAATCTGACTGAATGCCATGAGGCAAGGACAATCTGACCCTCAGTTCTTTACTTGGAATTTTCCATAATACCACCATTAAAAAATTTTTTTCATTCTCATTCAAAAGCAATCCATTCGCGTTTTTCCTGGACCTGGAATGTGCCAACAGAGCTTTCACTGCCTTTCTGGTCTGCTCTTCATCCAGCTGCCCTAGTGCGGCCGGGGTTGCTGAGGTCGAGGCTGGAGTTGCTGTTGAGGCTGCAGGTGGTGCTGAAGCGGAGTCCTCCATTTCTTTCCGCCGTGTGCAGACTTGCGTGCGGAACACCACGTCTGGCTCCCGCCCTTCGCATTTTAATTATGATGTGTCTTGGTGTGGTCCTCTTTGGATTCCTCTTGTTTGCGGTTCTCTATGCTTCCTGGACTTGTAAGTCTATTTCTTTCACCAGGTAGGGGAAGTTTTCTGTCATTATTTCTTAAAATAGGTTTTCAATATTTTGCTCTCTCTCTTCTTCTGGCACCCCCATAATTCAGATGCTGGTACACTTGAAGTTCTCCCAGAGGCTCCTTACATTATCTTCATATTTTTGGATTCTTTTTTCTTTTTGCTTTTCCAGTTAGGTATGTTTTGCTTCTTCGTATTTCAAATCTTTGACTTGATTCTTGAGGTCTTCTAGTCTGCTGTCGAATCTCTGTATATTATTTTTTATTTCAGTCAGTGTATGCTTAATTTCTAATTGGTTCTTTTTCATATCCTTGAGGGTCTCACTAAATTTCTCTGATGTTTCTAGAAGATTCTTGAGTAACCTTATAACCGTGGTTTTGAACTTTATATCCAGTAGTTTGCTTTCCTTCATTTCTTTCATTTGTGACATATTTCTTTGTCTCCACATTTTGGCTGCTTCCTTGTGTTGATAGAGTGGCTTTGTGTGCTAGGTGTCCTATAGGGCCCAGTGGCTCAGCCTCCCTAATGACCTGAGGTTGACACTTTTGGTGCACCCCTTTGTGGGCTGTATGCACAGTCTTGTTGTAGTTAAGTCTTGATTGCTATTGGTATCACTGGGAGGAATTGACCACCAGGCCAATTGGCTGTGAGGACCAGCTGTGTCTACAATGGGAGAACTGCTGTGCTGGAGACAACCTTATGGAGCAGGACTTGCTTCAGTGGGGCTTTGATGCTCACTGAGTCTGCCCCTTGAGTGTGTCGCTTATGGATGTGAAGAGTTGTACTCTGGTATGGTCTCACTCTGACCACTGGGTACACTGGCTCTTGAATCTCCAAGTAGGTGCAAAGTCAGCCACTGCCTGAGGCCATCCAGCAGGAGCTACAGAGAGATCTGTAGATTTCTCCTCTTTGTTTGGGGTTTGGAAGTGCCCAGATGAGGCCCAGCTGTGAAGCAATGCAGGCTGCTGTTGAGCCTTAGGCCTTCTTTTGGTAGCTTTGGTGCTCTTTGACTCAGCAGCAGTTTGTTAGGTTTTAGATTGTAGAAGAACAGGCCATTCACATAAAAAAGCCTCTGCTCACAGCTTGGGTGGGGTTGTAAATTGGGTGGGGCGGGGTCTCAGGGAATCATCAGGGTGGAGCAAACCGCAATGGCTGCCAGTCTGCTCTGCCTCGGAGAGGTCCCAGGGTCTCTATGTCCCGCAGCTACATGCAGGAACAATGATCACTGCAACCACCTCTGTGAGAAAGCCACCCTTGTGTTCCTGTCCCGTTGCCAGACAGTGAAGTTTCTCCCCATATGAGTCTGGGTTCCCAGAGTCTTAACCAGAACTGGAGTTCAGAGCAATCAGGAGCTTGTATCTCCCTCCCAAATGAAAAAGACAACAGCGTCCTCAGTTGCCAGCTCATTTCCACGTGTGCCTCCATACCTCTGCACTTCTGCACCTCCACACCTCCTACCAGTTTCAATGCGCTTTTCTCTTTCCTTCTATTTGTAGAATTTCCACTCAGCCAGCCTTCTCATGGTTCTGGATGATATCCGTTTTGTCTTTTAGTTGTAGTTTTGATGTGGTTGTGCGAGGCAGCAACTACAAGTGTGTTCCTATCTTGGTTCCTCCACTAGGGACAGATTTTTTTAAAAAGAGTAAAGTTTGGGAGATGGTGGCTGATGGGAAGATGGGCTGCAAGACAGTGTGTGAGTGAGAGAGCTAAAGTAGTGTGCGTGGACATGGGGGTAGTGTTAGTATTTGTGAGTGAGGAACAGTTATATTTCACAGGACTGTTGGGGACTGGTGGACCAGGCTCTCTGGCTGGGCAGCCTCTACTACCACTGAAATTTCCCTTGGAACAGCTGGCTCTGCTGGAGAGGCCACGCCATCTTGAAGGGGAGAGCGGCTGTGATTGGGAGCCCAGCCTTACCTTCAAACCAGGGAGATCTCGGATACCTCCCAGGACCCTACAGCCACAATGCCCAGGGACCAGCTGACTCAGTTGCGAACCCACAAACACCAAGACTCAAGCCTCCCTGGCCACAGGAGCCTAAAAATTTTGTCCAGGGGCAGACATGTGACAGCCGAATATGTGATTGGGTCCTGCATCTTCTCACACAGAAGATAGAAGGAACAGCTGAATCAAATAACATCACCCAGAACTGGTGAATTAAACACAGCTGGTGAGGCAATCTGTGGATGGAAAGGTCAGAGATCTCCTGGAGAGGGGTGAGATCTGGGATCCAGGCTGGAGAGAGAAACGTGTGCAGCGGAATGTAGAGTCTCAGAGGGAGACTGCATTCTACCAAAGCCACGGCCCTTGGGGTCAGTGTAGCCCTCGAATGTGGAAGGGGGTCCACAGGGCTTCTGGCAGAGGGGGACTCTAGATCTAAGCCCACAATCATGGGAGACTGTGCCCAGAAAGGCAGCCTGAAGTGCTATACCAGCCGCACAGTGCCAGTGGGAGAAAGACGTGAGTCAGCGCAGTTGCTTTGTCTTTTTGTCTCCCTTGCTTTTGCTTGCTAAGACCAGTACATAGGATCTTCCAATTAAAAACACTCACCGAGACTGCAGGGGAAAGTTCTTTTTGTGAAAACTGGGGTCAGAATAGGGAGAGATGAGCAGAAAACTAGCTCTGGGACAGTCTGTCCCTCCAACCCAGTCCTAATTGTGGCAGGGAAAGAAGAGTCTAACTCTAAACACTGGGTTGAGGGGCCATTTGGTCCCAGAAACTAATACAGAAACACCGCCACCCAGCGGCTGTGTCAGAAATAGACGCTTGTGTAAATACAACTGAAGGCAGGCAAAAAAACAAAGTGGGCAGAGAGATCCCGCCTGCTTGAAAATAAGGTTGTGGCTTATGACACAGAGTAGCGGTGGATCGCAGGGAACTTCAACACTGTGCTGACTACTTGACAGGAAACAGGCGTGCCAAGCAGAACAGTAGAGAGGGGTCATAAATCAGCCCCCATGGGTCATTGAAGCTCCGCTGAAGTGAACAACCTTCACTACTTCACTTTTTTATTTTTTATCTTTTACATAAGAAACTAAAATTTTTTCCTCACTTTATTTAACTTTTTTATTATTATATTTTTATATTTAATTATTATTATTATTACTATTATTTTACCTTTTTAAAGTTTATTTTATTTTTTCTTTATTTTATTTTTTTTGGATTAGTGTTCTTCATTCTATTTTTATTTTAACATTATTTTACTCTAGCTCAATTTTTTCTTTTTCTTTTTTTAAATTTTGTTTTATTGCTTAAAGTATTACATATGTCTCCTCCCCCCCCCCCTTGACCTTCCCCCGGCCTCTCCTACACCCAAGTGTCTTGTGACCATTGGTTATGCTTATATGCTTGCATACAAATCCTTTGGTTGAACTCTTACCTGCCCCCCAACACCCCCCAGCCTTCCCCCTGTAGTTTGACAGTCTGATCGATGCTGCTCTGCCTCTGCATCTATTTTTGTTCATCAGTTTATAATGGTCTTTATTATCCATAAATCAGTGAGATCATGTGGTATTTTTCTTTCATTGACTGGCTTATTTCACTTAGCATAATGCTCTCCAGTTCCAACCATGCTGTTGTAAATGATCTTCTTCCTCTTCTTAAAGCAGCGGTTCTCAACCAGTGGGTTGCCAACCTGTGAGTCTCGACCCTTTTGGGGGTCGAATGACCCTTTAACAGGGGTCGCCTAAGACCACCCTTTAACAGGGGTCGCCTAAGACCATTGGAAAACACATATATCAGCGATTCTCAACCTGTGGGTCGCGACCCCTTTTGGGGTCAAACGACCCTTTCACAGGGGTCGCCTAAGACCATCGGAAAACACATATATAATTACATATTGTTTTTGTGATTAATCACTATGCTTTAATTATGTTCAATTTGTAACAATGAAAATACATCCTGCATATTAGATATTTACATTATGATTCATAACAGTAGCAAAATCACAGTTATGAAGTAGAAACGAAAATAATTTTATGGTTGGGGGTCACCACAACATGAGGAACTGTATTAAAGGGTTGCGGCATTAGGAAGGTTGAGAACCACTGTCTTAAAGAATACTTTTCAGCATTTCATATAATACTGGTTTGGTAGTGATGAACTCCTTTAGCTTTTTCTTATCTGTGAAGCTCTTTACCTGACCTTCAATTCTGAATGATAGCTTTGCTGGGTAAAGTAATCTCGGTTGTAGGTTCTTGCTATTCATCACTTTGAATATTTCTTGCCACTCCCTTCTGGCCTGCATAGTTTCTGTTGAGAAATCAGCTGACAATCGTATGGGTACTCCCTTGTAGGTAACTAACTGTTTTTTCCTTGCTGCTTTTAAGATTCTCTCTTTGTATTTTGCCCTTCCCATTTTAATTATGATGTGTCTTGCTGTGGTCCTCTTTGAATTCCTTTTGTTTGGGGTTCTCTGTGCTTCCTGGACTTGTAAGTCCATTTCTTTCACCAGGTAGGGGAAGATTTCTGTCATTATTTCTTCAAATAGGTTTTCAATATCTTGCTCTCCCTCTTCTTCTGGCACTGCCATAATTCGGATGTTGGTACGCTTGAAGTTGTCCCAGAGGCTCCTTACACTATCTTCATATTTTTGGGTTCTTTTTTCTTTTTGCTTTTCCAGTTGGGTGTTTTTTGCTTCTTCGTATTTCAAATCTTTGACTTGATTCTTGGGATCCTCTAGTCTGCTGTTGGATCTCTGTATGATATTCTTTATTTCAGTCAGTGTATGCTTAATTTCTAGTTGGTTCTTTTTTATATTCTCAATGGTCTCACTAGATTTATCGAGGGTCTCACTAAATTTATCGGCGGTTTCTAGAAAATTCTTGAGAAACTTTAGAAGTGTGCTTTTGA